CCGCCCGGCAGGAAGGAGGGGGGTGCTGTCAGCATCCACGCTGGGAACCACGGTCAGGGGGCACAGCTGAGGGGGGGGACAAGGGGGGAATGTACCTCAGGGAAGCCGGCTGCCCCCAGTCCTTCACCATCCACCTTGGCGGCGCTGGCTCCATCCCCTGCAAGCACATGGCCCTGGTGAGCCCGGCCGTGGTGTCCAGATGGGGGTCTGCCCCCTCCCAGGACACCCATGCCAAAGTTTGGGGCCAGGGCCCCCCCCAGTGCTCACCCAGCACCTCATCCAGCTCCGCTGGCCGCTCCAGCGTGTCCAAGAAGTCATTGGAGCTCCACTTTGTCATCTCCTTCGCAAAGACCTCGTCGCTGTCAGACAGGTCCTCTGCGGTGGCAGGGAGGGGGCGGTGGGTGAGGAGCCCATAAAAGCCCCCCCACCGGGCACATCCAGCCCACCCCAAGCCAGTGCCCAGTCCCTGCCACCGAAACGCTGAGCCGGGGGGCAGCCCCGCCATACCGTGGGCATCGAAAAACTCCTCTTCAGAGCTGTTCTCGGAGTCACGGGCGATGTTCTGCATCCGCCACTCGGACAGGCTCTGAGGAGACACCCCCCCTGCCACCAGCAGGGGATGAGCACCCAGAGACCCCCCCTGCAGTGAGCCCCCGCTCCTGCCCCAAAGATCCCTCCCTGCTCCTGCACCCAGAACCCCGGGGGAGACCCAGGGCCACCCCTGGGGCACACAGAGACTCAGCACCCCCCAGGAGACCTAGGCCAGGGAAGAGATGGTTCCCTGACACATCTCCTGTGGAGGAGAGAACCATCCGAGGGGCTTGAGGGTCCCCATCCCACCCATGCAGGATCTGCTCTCTCACCTCCATGCTGGGAAGAGTAGGAGGACCGGGAAGAAGTGGACCACTGCTTGGCAAAGGTATCGTCAGGAGAGGAATCGGCCACCCCCTGCACCTCCATCCCCTCCTGCCCGCTGGCGCCCCCTGGATCCGGCCGCCCCTCGGGGCTGGGTCCGGCAGTGGGGGGCTCCTCAGCTTCCCCGCACTTTGCCATCTTCTGTGCCAGCATCCGCGCCGGCTCCT